CCACCGGGACACGCCGAAGCCCCGGCGGCGGCGGGCGTCCCCCGGTGCCGCGGCCTGGGCCCCAGGGGCGTTCCGCCTCTCCCCGCCGTCCTCCCCGGGAGTCTCTCCTCAGCGCTGTCCCGGGGCTGCGGGCCTGCGTCCCGGCGGGCCCCGGCCTTCCTGGGGCGCTGGGCGCTTCTCGGGGGTGCGGGCTGTGGGGAGCGGGGCTGGCCGCGGGGCGGGTGGGTTTGGAATAAGGTGCTGGGCTGTAGAGGCGTTATCTGCCAGGCGAGATTCCCTAGCTCTCCGTACAGCTACCCGCACTGGGCTCCCCCGGATGGGTTTTGGTCTTGGGTCACGTTCGCCTTTGCCGTACGTCTGTGGAGTGTTGGCTGGTGGTAGTTCTTGGGGCTGATTTTTAATATTCCCCGAAGAGTTCTGTAACTTCAGGCCGCTTCCAAAGGTTAAAAGGTTGCGAATACCCTGTAGGCAGGTTAACATCCATACTTTTCTTTCTCCAAAGACCTTTTGGGTCACGCTTCAAACCTGAATTTCTGTGATAGCGAAAGACATTTTTCTCTTAGCCTCTTCTTTCTCTTCTGAGCTTCCTGCTTGACATTCAGTGTTGGTTTTGTGGCATAAGGTTTAACTTGCTAATGTAGTTTCAAATAATCTGTAGAAGACAAGGATGCAGTCTTGTTAACTCCCACAACATCTGACTCAGGCATCTCTTTTATAACCTAAAGAGAAAAGTATTCTGTAGCACAGTTAATAACTGGGAGAGCAATTCATAGATAAATATAGTGTTCAGGGAAGTTCATTCCTTGTTTTAAAAATTACTAAATGCCTGTGGTCAAGGGCCAACATTTGAAGGGTCACAGATTGTTAATCTTCTTCAAACACAGTGATGGTGTTTGTAATCCATTTCTGTGCAAACTTTGGATATTGAGAATTTGTGCCAAAAAAAGATCTTTCAGTTATTACCATCTCTTATGATAATTAAGTCATGTAGTGTTTTAAGTATTTCATAATGCTAGGTAAGCTTGTAAAATTTAAAGCTGCTTTGTACAGTTAAAATAAGAAAAAAAAAAAGTGGCAATAAATAAATTTTGGCAGAGGTGAAGTTTTCTATTACCTGATAAAATTATTTGACCTGATAAATATTATCTGTGCTTTGTGCTATAGCTTAGTTTTGTAAGTGATATCTTGAGTTGTTCTCTGACAAGACGTGCTTAAGGAAGTTGAAAGGTATTAAGCTAGTAGGTAATGAGTATCATTTATGAGCCAAATGTTCTGGTTTTTATATGTTGATAATTTAATTTATATTTTACCTCATTCATTTATTATGTTATACTTCCTTATTTGGCTAATTTGAATTAGTGCTCTGCCCTCATGATTTTTTTCTTCCTATTCTTTTGTCTAGAGCCTGACACTTAACATTTCTGCATGTCTTCCAGATGATGTATGCACACATTTTTCTTTCTACCACCCTCAGTAATGTTTTGTCCTATAACAGCTGATGAAGCTTAGGATACGATTCTTTGCAAAATCTTCCACTGAATGTATCTTCTTTCTTCCCTTGCTTTAGCTTTTCTAAAGTGTCTGTTCTTCTATTCCTGCCCATATCACTTTGCAGAAGAACAGTAAAAGACTGGAAAGCGAACAATGAGAAAGCTCTCACTTGCTAGAAAAAATGCTGTTTGTAAGAGCAGTATAAAAACCCTACCTTTGCCTGTGTGATTTTTTGAAATATGTATTGAAAAGAACATGAGAATTGTTTCCTGTTGGCTACAACGGGGAGGTTTGTATTTATAATTACTTATATTCCATTCTGAGCTGCAGCACTGTATTGCTAATAAGAATTTACTGTTAGCTGCATCTGCTGCCTTTTCTTCCTCTCACCCCTCCCAGATTTAAGAGCAAGAGAAGTATCTTGCCCCAAATCACAGTAAGGTGAAAAACGTATTGATATTCTGAGAAATCTTAGTCATTTCTCTGGTAAGATCATCTGATAATTCTTGTAATGTGTATTCATTGTGTCCATATTTTGACTGTTATTCATTTGTGCCTATCTTATTCCATTTGAAGTCTGTGGAGCTGGGGTGCATTATAGTATTTGCAGCGTGTCCTGTTTTGGTGGTGTCTGCCTAAAGCAAATACCTACAGATGTGCTCTCAGTGGGCAGAGACCTAGCACAAGCTACTTCCCCAGTAACCTTATTTTCTCCTTTGTTGTGCAGTTGGTTTGTCTGTATTTTAGTAATTATGTGGCTGACTGTCTATAAGAACTTATTTAATAAGATTAGTGAACAGCAAATGCTTTCTAAGTGACTTTAAGGGAATTGATGTTCCAAGTTTACCTTTTCTGACATTTGTTGTGTAAGTATCTGGGTTTAATGCTTTTCAAAGCTTTTCCCTAACTTACGTGTAACTTCCACGCCTAAACTTCAGCTATACTTTTGCCTAGGGTCATGATGGTTAAACTTTTGTTCTACACTGCAGCTGTTGTTAGTATCATTAGCTAGAAACATTGCTCCTTTATATGCTGACAGTATATACGATGGTGGTAGTAATAAGAATGCATGTTTAAAGAAAATTGCGTGATGAATCTCTTTCATCTTGAACTGTGCTGGAAAATTTCCCAACGTTGTACTATTGCTAAGCTCAGGGAAATGCCAATATAGTTCTTGGAAATGCTGCATGAGTTTCTCTAAGAAAGTTGTGTATTAACTCCTTCAGTTAAAAAAAACATTCTTAGATGCTAATGCAGTACTAGGTAGTAATACTTGTGTATGCCGAAGAAAGGAACATTTATCAGTTGGCAGTAATTTCTTTCTTTAAATGTGTCTTTAGCTGCTAACATATTCTTTAAGTTGTGCAACTTGCTGTTAAGTTCTTAGGTTTGGAACTTAGGGTTTTCAAGCAGTGTTCCCTTAGTCGATGGTGTTTGTGTGCCCATATAGTGAATGATACGCATCTTCAAATGCGGCATTGTGCTACCAAAATGTTGCTGCCAGTAATATTTATCCTTTAAGAAGGAATAGAAGCCGATGATATTTACCATGAAAGGTACAGGACATGTAGACAGTATGCTTGAACAAATATTTGCATTTTCCATTGCTTCATATGCAATCATTTGTGTTGCTCCTTAATATTGCTATAATAGCAGAGAATTATAAATACCATCAGTTTAAAAAAAAAAAACAACAAAGAGACCAGGTTAGAAAGACGAGGAGATGGTGAACCAAACACAATAGAGGCAGGCAAAGGGAAAATGTTCCCGGCAAAGGGAAGTTACTGTTGCTGTTTGTATGAGTATACTAGTATGGTGTGGAAGACCAACATCAGAAAGACAGATGCTTTTTCATCAGCATTGAAACTAAAATTATGTATTTTAGAATCATCAAAATGTAGCTAAGATGATACACTTTTGGTTTTAATTATGTGTGTTGGTCAAAGCTCAGATCCAGTATATTTATTTCCAATAGCTGCAGTAGCACAGGCAGGTTTTTCAGTTGTGATCTTCATGGCTGTTGACAGCTTTGTCAGTCTTACTGACGTTTCGGTAGTGCTGTGTAGGAGTACCAAAGAAAACTGCGAGCCCTGTCCACGTGGGGACTTCACTAAGCTGGTCTTTTTTGATCAAGATAAATCCTCTAAATACCTCTTCTCATTCTACCAGTTTCCCTGTGATAGAAATCTGTTTGGGTGTTTGCCTGGAGCTTCATTATTCTTTATGGGGAGCTGAAGGTTGGGCAAACATGGGACTCATGGAATATAAGCATGTTAATTGCTGGAACTGCATTTATGTAAGGCAGGTTTTTCTCTGAAATGGGAAAATACTATTGCCATCTGCTGCTTTTGCATATAGCTGGGCTCTTTCTGGGCCATAACCACAGAGACTGAATTAGCAGGTGCGTGGGTTCACTGGTGTTTGTCAGATTTCTTCTGTCTTGAATTGTCATTGACAAGTACCAGCTCTCTGCTGGTTCTTCAGAACGGTATTCGTGACGGTTTTTAATTTACCTTACTTGACTTTTTTTCTGATCCCTTACCTTCTCTGCTGTCAAATGTGGTTGGAGTTAGATTAAATCCTTCCTATTTTAACCTGAGATCAAGATTTAACCCTTTTCAACGGTTTCAGTGTGTCTCTATGTGCCTTGCCAGGTCTGATGTGATTTCTTCTCTGGGCCCGTAAGAGATAACGCAAGCTTGCTGATTTTCATGCTGTGCTTATGAAGATTTTTTAATGTGTTCTGCTGCTCAAGACGCTGGAATTTCAGGATGGTAGCTTTTACGTTAGAGTGAGCCCAAACTTTTGTCTCTATGCAGTATTATTTTAGGACGCTTTTTGGTGGGCATTTCAATTCCCAAGAAAGTCCTCTTGCAGAGGATGCACAGAAGTATTCTCTGCTTTGTCTGACTTACTATATTTAAATTGATAGGAGCTGTATGCCTGGAAAAACCCCCAAATTCCTGGTGTAAGCGGCATCTTTCCCAGTGCAGCCTGTGGGGGAGAGGAGCGCATCGCCCTTTCACGGCCGCCTGTCCCCACCGTGGGCTGGCGCTGGCGGGGTTTAGTTTCGTGTCCCGCCAGCCGAGATGTCCGGCGCTGGCGGTGCTGAGGGCGGGCAGCGCCCTGCCGCTCGGCCCGGCCCCGCTCCTCTCCGCCGGCGCCCGTCGGTAGGGCTAACCTCGCCGTGTCCTCCCGCCTCTGACGTCTCGCCGTAATTAAAAACGCGAGGAGCGGGTGGCTTCCCGTGAGAGGCGGTCCCGCCGCCAGGCGGGGGAGGGGGCGGCGGGCGGCC